TAGTCCCCTCTTTTATAGTCAGGCTTTTCCCATTCCACTCCTGTTACTCTCTCCACTTGCAACTCTACTATATATTCAAAGCACAACCACGTGGTCGCTAGCTCCTAGGGGACTCTCATACGTGATGTCCTCAATGTCTGAACTGCCCAGGGTGAACACAAGGTCCAATCTTGCTGGTTCATCCTCCTCTCTCACTCTGGTAGTGTCCTTAACATGTTGGTGCATGAGGTTTTCCAGTACCGCGTCCATCATCTTGGCTCTCCTTGTTTCGGGACGCCCATGTGGCTCCAGGTTTTCCCAGTCAATCTCCCTGTGGTTGAAGTCCCCCATAACCAGCAACTTTGCTCTGCTTGAGTGAGCTCTTCTTGCCACCTCAGCAAGTGTGTCCACAATTGCTCTGTTGCTCTCTTCATATTCCTCTCTTGGCCTCCTGCAGTTCTGTGGTGGATTATACATCACTGCAATGACCACCTTGTGCTCCCCAGACTGAAGTGTACCTACTATGTAGTCTCTTTCTCCCGTCTCGTCTGTGCCTTCCATTTTCTCGAATTTCCATCTGTGTGGTGTGTGTGTGTGTGTGTGTACTCACCTAATTGTGGTTGCAGGGGTCGAGACTCGGCTCCTGGCCCCGCCTCTTCACTGATCGCTACTGGATCCTCTCTCTCTCTGCTTCCTGAGCTTTGTCATACCTCTTCTTAAAACTATGTATGGTTCCTGCCTCCACTACTTCACTTGCTAGGCTATTCCACTTGCTGACAACTCTATGACTGAAGAAATACTTCCTAACGTCCCTGTGACTCGTCTGAGTCTTCAGCTTCCAGTTGTGACCCCTTGTCCCTGTGTCCCTTCTCTGGAACATCCTATCTCTGTCCACCTTGTCTATTCCCCGCAGTATCTTGTATGTCGTTATCATGTCTCCCCTGACCCTTCTGTCCTCCAGTGTCGTCAGTCCGATTTCCCTCAACCTTTCCTCGTACGACATTCCCTTGAGCTCTGGGACTAGCCTTGTTGCAAACCTTTGTACTTTCTCTAACTTCTTGACGTGCTTGACCAGGTGTGGGTTCCAGACTGGTGCTGCATACTCCAGTATGGGCCTAACATACACAGTGTACAGTGTCTTGAACGATTCCTTATTAAGGTATCGGAACGCTATTCTCATGTTTGCCAGGCGCCCGTATGCTGCAGCGGTTATTTGGTTGATGTGTGCCTCCGGTGATGTGCTCGGTGTTATGGTCACCCCAAGGTCTTTCTCCTGAGTGAGGTCTGTAGTCTTTGTCCACCTAGCCTATACTCTGTCTTCGGTCTTCTTTGCCCCTCCCCAATCTTCATGACTTTGCATTTGGCTGGATTGAATTCGAGAAGCCAGTTACTGGACCACATGTCCAGCCTCTCCAGGTCTCTTTGCAGTCCTGCCTCATCCTCGTCCAATTTAATTCTTCTCATCAACTTCACGTCATCTGCGAACAGGGACACTTCAGAGTCTATTCCTTCCATCATGTCGTTCACATATATCAAAAATAGCACTGGTCCTAGAACTGACCCCTGTGGGACCCGCTCGTAACAGGCGCCCACTGTGATACCTCTTCACGTACCATGACTCGTTGCTGCCTCCCTGTCAGGTATTCCCTTATCCATTGCAGTGCCCTTCGTTTTACGTGTGCCTGATCCTCCAGCTTCTGCACTAATCTCTTGTGGGGAACTGTGTCAAAGGCCTTCCTGCAGTCTAGGAAAACGCAATCTACCCAACCCTCTCTCTCGTGTCTTACTTCTGTTACCTTGTCATAAAACTCCAGGAGGTTTGTGATACAAGATTTGCCTTCCATGAACCCATGCTGGTTTTCATTTATAATCTTGTTCCTTTCCAGGTGTTCGACCACTCTCCTCCTGATAATCTTCTCCATGACTTTGCACACGATACATGTCAGAGACACAGGTCTGTAGTTTAGTGCCTCGTTTCTGTTTCCTTTCTTAAATATGGGGACTACATTAGCTGTCTTCCATTTTCTCGGGTAGTTGCCCATTTTTCAAGGGATGTGTTGAAGATTGTGGTTAGAGGCACACACAGCATCTCTGCTCCTTCTCTAAGGACCCATGGGGAGATGTTGTCCGGTCCCATCGCCTTTGAGGTGTCAAGGTCACTTAAGAGCTTCTTCACCTCCTCCTCAGTTGTTCGTATGTCATCCAACACATGTTGGTATATTCCCTCTTGATGTTCCCTTCTGTTCTGTCTTCCACAGCCCTTCCTGTCTCTACTGTAAAAACTTCCTTAAATCTCCTGTTCAGCTCCTCACATACCTCCTGATCATTTCTTGTGAGTTCTCCACCTTCTGTCCTTAATCTGATCACCTGGTCTTTGACTGTTGTCTTCCTCCTGATGTGGCTATACAACAGTTTCGGGTCAGTCTTGATTCTCGATGCTATGTCATTTTCATACTGTCGCTGGGCCTCCCTCCTTACCTGTGCGTACTCATTCCTGGCTCTGCGACTGATCTCCCTATTTTCGTGTGTTCTCTGCCTTCTGTACTTTTTCCATTCTCTATTGCACTTTGTTTTTGCCTCCTTACACCGTCGAGTGAACCAGGGGCTTGTTCTGGTCTTCCCGTTGTTACTGTTGCCCTTGGGAAAGAACCTTTCCACTGCCTCCTTGCATTTTGTTGCTACATATTCCATCATTTCATTTACTGGCTTTCCTGCCAGTTCTCTGTCCCACTGGACCTCCCGCATGAAGTTCTTCAACCCTATGTAGTCCCCTCTTTTATAGTCAGGTTTTTCCCATTCTACTCCTGTTATTCTCTCCACTTGCAGCTCTACTATGTATTCAAAGCACAGAACCACGTGGTCGCTAGCTCCTAGGGGACTCTCATACTTGATGTCCTCAATGTCTGAGCTGCCCAGGGTGAACACAAGGTCCAATCTTGCTGGTTCATCCTCCCCTCTCACTCTGGTAGTGTCCTTAACATGTTGGTGCATGAGGTTTTCCAGCACCACGTCCAACATCCTGGCTCTCCATGTTTCGGGACCCCCATGTGGCTCCAGGTTTTCCCAGTCAATCTCCCTGTGGTTGAAATCTCCCATAACCAGCAACTTTGCTCTGCTGGAGTGAGCTCTTCTTGCCACCTCAGCAAGTGTGTCCACCATTGCTCTGTTGCTCTCTTCATATTCCTCTCTTGGCCTCCTGCAGTTCTGTGGTGGATTATACATCACTGCAATGACCACTTTGTGTTCCCCCGACTGAAGTGTACGTGCTATGTAGTCTCTTTCTCCCGTCTCATCTATTCCTTCCATTTTCTCGAATTTCCATCTGTTTTTTACGAGCAGAGCAACCCCCTCCCCTGCCCCTTCTATCTTTCCTCATGATCTGGTATCCTGGTGGGAAGATTGCATCTGTTATTGTCTCCATGAGTTCTGTGTGTGTGTGTGTGTGTGTGTGTGTGTGTGTGTGTGTGTGTGTGTGTGTGTGTGTGTGTGTGTGTGTGTGTGTGTGTGTGTGCGTGTGTGTGTGTGTGTGTCTGTGTGTGTGTGTGTAATCATAGAACAAAATTATTTATCTACGAAAGTTTAATTTCATTCGTCATGTCATATCATACCACAAAACAGCACGACATACCACAACACAGCTCAACACAGCATAGCACGACATACCACAACACAGTTCAACACAGCATAGCACGACATACCACAGCACAGTTCAACACAGCATAGCATGACATACCACAACACAGTTCGACACAGCATAGCACGACATACCACAGCACAGTTCAACACAGCATAGCACGACATACCACAACACAGCTCAACACAGAATAACACGACATACCACAGCACGGTTCAACACAACATAGCACGACATACCACATAATTCTACCAATCATAACATCAAACAGCACATCTCACTCCAACACATCACAAACACACCACACTAACTCAATTAATCAAATAACCCGCACATGGGAGAATCAAACTCAGACACAATTCGGAGGTAAAAAAAAATCGACAACGTTACCCTCGAACATGCACCAGTACCCAATGCGTATTTTTTGAGGAAGATTTGCTTCAGCACCGATATTGTGGTTTGTTATCTTCAAACACAAACTGTTACAAAAAACGCGATTCTAAAAGCTTAGAGATCTCCAGTGAATACTAGAAAGGACTGCCCTTCTAGCATCCAGCCTGTTACTGGGTTTTCGTAACAAGTAGTCAGTATCCTTGTCCAATTATCCATTAGAATTCATTAAGATTCAATAGTGCTTTAGGATTACAACTGGTAGGCTACTAACTAGAGAAATTAAAATTTAATAAATTTATTAAGTCTAGAGGTATATTATCAAAGTAAATTAAATCACAGCAATCAAAATAAAATCAATCTCTCGAGTTCAAGGAACAGAAAATCACTAACAAGAATCCCAGGAAAACACAAATCACAAGAGATATAAGTCAGTAAAGCCAGGAGCTAGGACCAAACCTCCGCAACAAGCTATATTTTATAAAAACACTTGTTATGTGTTGCAATAGTTGATAATCATGATAACTGTTCATGTAAAAGATAATTAATGATCACGTGACAGAATGAGGATAGTTCTACTTCTGTAGGAAGAAGGATAAAGCCTCTACCACCCCAGAATAATCCATACGGGCTTAGCGCTTTAAAGAAACTCATTACTGCTACTACTACTACTACTAATACAAAAATAATAATCTAAAAGGTATAATAATAATAATAATCCAAAAGATATAAAACAATATGGGATAGTGGAAAAGAATCCTTCCTCCGTAAGCCATGCGTGTCGTCAGAGGCGACAAAAATGCCGAGAGCAAGGGGCTAGTAACCCCTTCTCCTGTATACATTATTAAATGTAAAAAGAAGCTTCACGAAAGCATTTCTTATTTTTCGGTTCACTCTACATCTGTGGGAGACGGCTGTCGTGTTAAAAAACATATATATGGTTAATTATAAAGAGGTAATTGAAAAATTGGTAATTATAAAATAGTGAGTTACTTACGGTTCATGATGATGGTGAGGGAGGCGTGAACCGGTGACGTGACGTTGTTGTTGGTGGCAACGCAGGTTAAGTGAACGTTATGGTAGGAACGAGACAGATGCTTAATCACCAGTTGGTTCACACTCAACGACCCAGACCGAGACTCCACTGTAGATTCCAACACCTGTGTGGCATACACATACTGTTTATATATTATTGTTATTTTTTAAAACATCGGCCGTCTCCCACCAAGGTAGGGCGGCCCAAAAAAGAAAAACTTTCACCATCATTCACTCCATCACTGTCTTACCAGCTTTCACCATCATTCACTCACTGTCTTGCCAAAAGTGCGCTTACACTACAGTTTAAAACTGCAACATTAACACCCCTCCTTCAGAGTGCAGACACTGTAGTTCCCATCTCCAGGACTCAAGTCCGGCCTGCCGGTTTCCCTGAATCCTTTAATAAACATTACCCTGCTCACACTCCAACAGCAAGTCAAGTCCTAAAAAACATTTGTCTCCGCTCGCTCCTATCTAACACGCTCACGCATGCTTGCTGGAAGTCCAAGCCCCTCGCACATAAGACCTCCTTTACACATTCCCTCCAACTTTTCCTAGGTCGACCTCTACCCCGCCTTCCCTCCACTACAGATTTATACACTCTGGAAGTCATTCTATTTTGTTCCAACCTCTCTGCATGTCCGAACCACCTCAACAACCCCTCCTCAGCCCTCTGGATAATAGTTTTGGTAATCCCGCACCTCCTCCTAATTTCCAAGCTACGAATTCTCTGCATTATATTCACACCACACATTGCCTCAGACACGACATCTCCACTGCTTCCAGCCTTCTCCTTATTGCAACATTCACCACCCATGGTTCACACCCATATAAGAGCGTTGGTATAACTATATTCACATACATTCCTCTCTTTGCCTCCATGGACAAAGTTCTTTGTCTTCACAGACTCGTCAGTGCAGCATTCACCTTTTTTCCCTCGTCAATTCCATACTTTACGTAAATATCCACTCCTAAATATCTGAATACATTCACCTCCTCCATACTCTCACCCTCCAACCTGATATCCAATCTTTCGTTACCTAATTCTTTTTTTGTTATCCTCATCACCTTACTCTTTCCTACATTCACTTTCAATTTTCTTCTTTTACATACCCTACCAAACTCATCCACCAACTTCTGCAACTTCTCTTCAAAATCTCCCAAAAGCATAGAATCATCAGCAAAGAGCAATTGTGACAACTCCCACTTTTTGTTAGATTCTTTATATTTTAACCCCAAAACTCTTGCCAACACCAGAGCATTCACTTCTCTTACAATTCCATCCATAAATATACTGAACAACCATGGTGACATCACATCTCCTTGTCTAAGGCCTACTTTTACTGAGAAATAATCTCCCTGGCTGCCTTGGATAAAAACATCTAGCGTGCGCTGGGCGCCAAGGTATTGTTCCAGTTTGGTACGGTCGGTAAAGCACTGCATACCTTGTTCCAAGGTTCGTAGGTTCGAGTCTTCTTCGGCAAGAGATCAGTGTTTGTGATCGTATAATAGTCCCCAGAGTATCGTACAAGGGACTCCTGAGTGAAGAGGTAAGTTCTGCACTCTACAATACACAGTCAATAGAGACAAGCCTCTCTCTCTCTCTCTCTCTCTCTCTCTCTCTCTCTTTCTTTCCCATTATCTATCTTCTTTCAGTTCTAAACTTCTATGTCATTGTTGCCTTCCAGACAGGGGTAAACAATGCACTAGTTCATTGTATTCTGGCAAATACAATGTCCTTTCAATCCCATAAAATACAATGTCTTTTTATCCCTGCAAAATACAATGTATACATCTCTATCATTGCATACCTATTATGCATAAAAATGTGACTCGGTCTATTCACTATTGATATTTTACAAATGGTTTTATCACCCGAAAATGACACACACTTAACTAACTTGCAATTTGGAGAGGGACCTTTAAGCGAAGTTTCGGTCATCCCAGGACCACCATCAAGTACACAAAATAACCCGCACTTATTAGAAACTTATGACGACGTTTCGCTCGGTGTATTGTTCCAGTCGCGGTATTGTGCTCTTTTGCTCTTCATTGTCAAGCAGCAACTTGATAATGGTCTAGGGTGGACCGAAACGTCTTCAAAAGCTTCTTGGTTCCAATAATCTAGGCTGTGAATTGTTCCAGGCACGATACTGTGATTGTTATTCTTCAATAATGGTTAATCGGGTTTAAAACCTATCGGCTTGAGCAGGGTCATTAAGGCCCCACGTAAACCGTTTTACCACCAGACATGAATACTTTAATCCGTCAAATAGGGATGAAAGTAAACTCTCAGTATATACATATATACACACAGAGAAATACACCTCTCGGTGTATATATCCTGTCTTATTCGTCAGTATACAGCGCATCACTCCATGTATATATATCCAGTATTATTCGTCAGTATACAGCGCATCTCTCCTTGTTTATATATCCTGTCTTATTCGTCAGTATACAGTACATCTCTCCGTGTATATATCCTGTCTTATTCATCAGTAATACAGAGCATCTCTCCGTGTATATATCTTGACTTATTCATCAGTAATACAGAGCACCTCTCCGTGTATATATCCTGTCCTACACGTCAGTAATACAGTGCATCTCTCCGTGTATATATCCTGTCCTACACGTCAGTAATACAGTGCATCTCTCCGTGTATATATCCTGTCCTACACGTCAGTAATACAGTGCATCTCTCCGTGTATATATCCTGTCCTACACGTCAGTAATACAGTGCATCTCTCCGTGTATATATCCTGTCCTACACGTCAGTAATACAGTGCATTGTTTAAAACCAGAACCAAGGTTGTTGCGTGCCTGTGGTCGTTGGCTAAGTCTTCGAGACTCTAAAAGTGAATGTTGATGCAGAAATAATGTCTCTTTCTCCTGAAGTTCATGTCTTCCAGTATCTAAAAGTCATCGAAAACATTTTTATTCAAGTTTTATGAACACAACCATCCTTTGTGTCGCTTCAAGCCTTTCTGCTTCCTCACGTGTCAATGAAAATCTCACTTTCCCTCTCTCTCGTGTTTTTTTTTATCGTATGTCAGTGGCAGTGTTGGGAGTCACAATCGCAAGGGCTTGGATTCAATTCCCGGGCGACGGAAGACATGGGCAAATCTCATAACACTCACTGCCCCTGTTCACTTTAGGTCCCGGGAAAGGGACCTAAAGGATCCCGACAGAAATTATCCACAATATTTGAGTTTCTTGGGTTTTCCAAGGAGGATTAACCCTCCAGGATCAATAATTGGAACACTTGTTATCCTCGTCATCCTCCAAGTCTATCTTCTAGATAGACTTGGTGGCTGTCTCTGTACAGCTGTCTCTGCACACTATTATCACAGTAGATACTGATGGCTGCCTTCAACACTGTGATCACAGTAGATATTGGTGTCTGGAACTCTGTGACAACAGTAGTAGTTGTTGTGATATTTACAAAGCACTCTGAAGGCGTATGTCACTGCTCTCAAAGCAATAAAACTTATGTACAACACACCGAACAAAAAAAAAAATAATAAGAGTCATGAACATAATTAAAACGATAAACACAAATAAAGACTATGACACCAAGTTAAAATATCCAGCATTAGTTAGCAACACCGAGATCACAGATTATCAGTAGTACTACACAAATAACCAGCACGTAGAAGCTTATGACAAAGGCTCGGTCCCACAAGTCACAGTGTGACTTGTAAATGGTCCAGGTCAGACCGAAAGGTCGTGGTAAGTTTCTCTCTCCTATGTGCGGACTATCTGTGAATTGTTTCAGTCACGGTACTGTGACTTTTTGTTCCTTAACAGTAATATTCTCTCACCCACATTCAACAAGAACACCGATAATCTTTCCTCATATCAATTAGCCAAAACGCACGTTAAGCTCTCACTAAAGTAATATAAGATGTAATGTAAGAAGCCAAGGAGACCTCCATTTAGCCTCAATGAATGAACTCCAGTCCAGAGATTCAGAACAGCTTATATCAGAACGAAGTGTTTCCCACAGGATAGATCCTAGACTAACAGAATCTTTCCTGGTATATATCTTTATTAAGTTCAGAATATAAAACATTCTGTGCTTGCTGTAATCTATCTAAATATATATATATATATATATATATATATATATATATATATATATATATATATATATATATATATATATATATATATATATATATATATATTCTTGCACATCATTCTAATGAGGACACTAGAGCACTCCAGGATGATTTGAATAGACTGATGCAATGGTCGGAGAAGTGGCAGATGCAGTTTAATATAGACAATTGAAAAGTTCTAAATGTTGGACAGGAAAATAACCATGCCACATATAACCTAAATAACGTAGAGCTTAATATTACTGATGGCGAAAAGGATTTAGGAGTTCTGGTTAGCAGTAATCTAAAACCAAGACAACAGTGCATTAGTGTTCCTTGATAATGTGAGTAGTCATGAAAGCGCTTGGAATTTCTCTATTCTTTCACAGTGGTCGTTTTACACACACACACACACACACACACATATATATATATATATATATATATATATATATATATATATATATATATATATATATATATATATATATATATATATATATTATTGTGCCCACGAACGAGTGGTATTGATCAATAACAACACTGCGACTAGCCAAGGACTCGAACCCATATATATATATATATATATATATATATATATATATATATATATATATATATATATATAAACAGAACTGTGGCTTGTATTAGACTCGATCATGCGTCCCCATGCCCAGCCGTGTGTGAACTAAACAAAGTACGCATCACTCTCTCCACAGGACCACCATCCTTAAGCCCCCCTCGCCCAGCAGTACTGAGCGTGTTATCCTCATGTAAGGACATTCGTGGTCATGGAGCCTCAGATACTAATTTCAACCTCATCCTGTTTGGTGTACCAGCCTTCACGAGCAGTCTATAAATCAATGAAATCACGAAACAAGAGATTTTGAATAATTAACAGAGTTGCGGCTTGGCTACTACTCGATCCTGCGTTCCCATGCCCAGCCCTGTGAGAACTGTGTGAACGAATGTCCTTGCACCAGGATAACACGCTCAGTACTGCTGGGCGCCTGCCTGGTGTT